ATGGCATGATAACTGTCCAAGTATTTGACAGACTTGTAAAGCAGCTTGTTTTCTTTGGCCATAGGAGGGAGAGTGACAGATAGGGGATGGAGGTGACACAGGGGAATGTTCTAACAGTCAAAACTGTCTGATAATGGAATAAATTGCTTCAAATGAGCCCCCCATCTTCTTATCATTCAATCACAGGGCCAGTGAGGCCTAACCCTAGGCAAGGTTGCTGAATCATAGCTAGCATTTATACAGCACTTTGAGGTTTGCAAAGCACTTTACAAATGCTGTCTCATTTGATCTTCACAACAACCTTGGTAGGTAGGTGCTCTTATTATCCCCACTTTACAGATAAGGAAACTGAGGCAGACAAATGTTAAGTGACCTGCCCAGGGTCACACAGCTAGTAAGTGTCTGAGGGTAGATTTAACTCGGGTCTTCCTGACTCTGGTCTACCAAGACAGGAAAGTATGATTCATTATCTGTTTTCTAGGAACAAAACTGGTCATTGCAATTAATCAGAGTTTGGCTACTTTTTAGGGTTGTTTTCCTTTCCATCACTTTATCCTGGTTCTCTATACTTCCCTTTTCATCAATGCATACAATTCTTTCTGCATTTCTTAGAATTTTTCACACCTGTAATTTCTTATAGACAAAAATATTTCATGACATGTCTATACCGCAAAACGTTCAGCTGTGTGTTTCCTAATCAACGGACACCAACTTTATTTCCTGCTTTTCATCACCACAAAAAGTGCTGTTGCTAACACTTTGGTACATAGAGCCTTTATTGCTTGAGTTGGCTGTCTTGGACTACATGCCCCATAGTGGGACTCCTGGGTCTGAGTATTGACAGCTTATCAACTCTTCTCGGATGGTTCCTCATTTTTTTCTGAACATTAACACTCTCCCCCTTTTTTTTCCTCTTCTGCCTCCCATTCTTTCACTCACTAGGTTTTTGCTCCTGTTTTCTGTCTTTTTCTTTTTGTTGCTTCAGAATCTTTATCTCCCTGTCTTCTTACTGAGATTATTTCCTCCAAACTTTCTAGGAATCCTCTATCTTCTCTAAAAGGCACAAGAGGAGAGAGGCCTTCCTAGCGCCATCTTTTGGTCACAATATCTTAAGGGCTGCCCCTTGGAAATAAGCTTGACTGCCACATAAATTTGGTTTTTTTAAGGATCAGAGGGAAAGGGATCCATCTGTCTCCAGAATGTTCTCTCCCAGTCTTCTCCTTCACACAACCTGTCTTTCCTCAAATCTTGGTTGGATAAAAACCTTATTAACAATTAAAATTGTCCAAAGCAGAGATGGGCTGTTACCCACCGGGGTGACAAAATCAGAGATTCTCAGCGTTGGAAAGAACCTCAGAGGTCATCTGTACCTAAGCCGAAATTCCCTCTATAAAATCCCTACCATATAATCATCCAGTCTCCACTTAAAGATGTTCAGTCAGCACTGGAAGGGACACGAGAGATTAATAATAATAGCTAACATTTATATAGCATTTACTATGTTCCAGGCACTGTGCTAAGTGCTTTACAATTATTATCTCATCTGATCCTCACAACAATCCTGGGAGGTAGGTGCTATTATTGTCCAAGTTTTACAGATGAGGAAACTGAGGCAGAGGTTAAGTAGCTTGCCCGAGGTCACACAGCTAGGAAGTGTCTGAGGTCACATTTGAACTTGGGACTTCCTCACCCCAGGCCAGGTGCTCTATCTACTGTGTCACCACTAGAGATTACTGAGTCCTGGCTCATTTTATAGATGAAGAAACTGGGGCCTGACAAGGGGTGGTGATTTATTCAAAGCTACTCCTAAAGTAAGTGGCAGAGCTGGGACTAAATCCCAGGTGTCCTGATTCATCACACCAGGCTTTATCCACTGCAGTAAGCCCCTTGTAGAAAAAGAGGTCTCTGGTAGGAAAAGGCTGGTAAAGGAAACTGGCCTACTGTAACTCTTGCCTTTTTTTTTTTTGAGGGTGACAGACCATTCCAGTTTTGGATGGCTCTAATTGCTAATTACGTTTCTGTTAGATTGAGCAGATTGAAACAGATCTTGTAGCTTCCAGCCAGTGCTTCTAGTTTTGCCTTGGAGGACAGCAAAACAAATCTAATTTCTCTCCCGAAAGCTAATTCAATTCAGTTCAATCAACAAAGATTAAGTACCGACTATGATGTGAGGTACTATCCTTCAAATGTGTAAAGACAGCTATCAGGGGTGCCCTTGTAGAATTAGACCACAGGATCCCAATTATCCTTTCTCTGAAATCTAGGAAATTCACTCCTCCCCCCCAAATCTAGAGTATGCCTCAAATATCTGGCTTTCCCTGCCTGATCTGCTATGAATTTTAAGTAGGAGGAATCATGTCTTCCCAAGGTTCCCATCATTCCCACTTCTGTAGCTAGTTCCTCCTCAGTGGTCAGAATAAGACTCAGCATTGTAGCAGTTCCTCTTTCTATTTCCCCTGAGTCATGAAGAGTTAAGTTATCAAGATGCGTGAACAATTTACTGGCGACCCTATTTTTCAAAATAGAGATAGAGCTCCAGCAGATGCCCAGATAGTTAAAATCCCTCCACCCCCTTTACTACATCATGGTTCCATGCCAAGTTTGTGATTCATTTCCTGAACACATCATCCATTTCCTCCTTCTTGGCAGGCGGTCCTTAGTACATTCCCCTACAGTTTCACGTCAGCTACTCTTTCCATTGATCCTTATCCAACTGATATTGACCAGGCTTCCCTGGAATCACTCTGCCTCCTCACTGACCACTTGAAGAATTTTCTTACATGATCTTTCTGCTATATATACTACTCCAAAACCCCTCTTACCTAATTTTCCATGTTTTGAATAAGGTAAAGCCTTTTATTGCCATACTCCCCTACCAAGTCATATCCCATCCATCTCAGTGATGCTTAGGAAGTCAAATTTATCTAATTAGGTTAAAATCTCCAGTTTTAATCCATTTCCTCTTTTCTGCTACTCTTCTGCTAGTCAGTAATCCCCCCCGTACTCAGCAGTATCTCCTCTGCCAAAGTTACTGGGATACAGCTGCTTCCATAATCCTTCTACCATTGCCAACACTTGTAAGGAAATGCCTAAGGTATATGGACCTTCCCTTGAACTCCCAACAAGCCTTAGACCCTGTTTGCATTATTATGCTGGCTGTCATCCTAAGCACAGAACTTCACCAGGATGCCAAGAACGTTACCATCTCCCTGGACACCCTACTCATGAGCACTGCCTTCATCTCTCCTCATTCCCAGACACAATGGTCCTGAGGCTGAGTTGGGTGCTTCCTTGGCTATCTAAGGAAAAGGCAGAAAACTAGAATGGTAAATTGATACAGTGGCAAGAGTTTTGGCAGAAGATTTGGGTTGGAATCCCAAGTTCAACATTTATTAACTGCCCCATATTTTTTAACAGAGCTCCATCAGATGCTCAGATGGTTAAAATCTCCCCATCCCCTTTACTATATCTTGTTTCCATGCCAAGTTCATGATTCATTTCCTGAACACATCATCCATTTCCTCCTTCTTGGCAGGCAGTCTCTAGTATATTCCCCTTACAATATCACTTCTGCTCCTTCCTCCATTGATCCTCATCCAACTGATATCAACCAGGCTTCCTGATGTGTTACCCTATGTCAAATTAGCTATGTGACCCTGGACTCCTCTGAGCCAATTTCCATATCTGTAAAACAGGGATGATAATATTCGAGCCATCTGCCTCACATGGTGGTTGTGAGGTGCTTTGTAAAAGTGCCATAGAAAGGCCTGTTATTAGCTGTTATCTATTGTAGGCTCAGATTTGTAAAGAAGCAGAGGTATTAGCTGAGGGGACACCATGGAAGGGGAACTTTTCAAATTTTACTCAACATTGAGACTTAAATACTAGAAACTCCCATGAAGGGATGGATGGTAGAATCTTTGGCCTCAGAGGCACCTACCTTGGGACTGGTGGGAACAAGGGAGCTTTGGTCTCTTTGCCCTGTGCTACAGGGTCCCTGAGGAAGATATGAGAGGGGAAAGCTGATCCCTAGGAACCATATCTCTGCCCTACTTCCACCTATTGGCTTCCTTGGATTCCTTCAACACTCAACTCAAATCTCACTTTCTGCAGGAGGCCCTTCTAGATCCCCTCAGCTACTAATGCCCTCCCCTTTTAGATTACTTTCCATCTCCTCTATATATCTTGTACCTATTTACTTGTTTTCCCCCATTAGAATGTATGTTCCTTGAGGGCCAGGACTATTTATTTGAAATAAAATTGTATTAATATCCCTATTTTTACATTGCCTAAATTTACCCATTGTCCTCCTCCTCTCCACTTCCAGATAGCTTTAACATGTAAAATTGGTTTAAAGAGAAAAAAAGAAAAAATCTGCAAAATTTGTCGACAAAAAATGTGACAATATATGCAAAGTTCTGTACCCATGGACCCCCACTCCTCCCAACTAAAATCCCACCTTCCCCAGGAAGCCTTTCCTAACCACTCTTAATTCTAGTGCTTTCCCTCTTTTAATAATTTCCTATTTATCCTATATATAGCTTGCTTTGTATATATTTGTTTGCATGCTGTCCTCCCATCAGATTTTAAGCTCCTTGATGGCAGGGGACTGTCTTTTGCCTCTTTTTGTATTCCCATCACTTAGCACAGTGCCTGGCATATTAATAAATGTTTATTGATCATTCCAAAGTAGTTTGGGGAGATGGCTTCTCATTTCTCTTCTTTGGGACCAAGCTTGTCCATAATTTTGCAAGCTTGAGCTGGTTTGGGGTTTGGTTGTTCTGTTGGGTTTTTTTTTAATTTTGCTTCTCTTTGTACCCCCAGCACTCAGCATAGTATTTGACAGGGTAAGTGCTTAATGGATGCTTGTTGACTGACTGACCCCAGACTGTCAGGAGCTTAAGGATTCCAGGCTTGGGAAAGATGGCAGGAGGGGAGGAATCTTCAGACCCCAAGGAGTCTGTGGATATCCCCCATCTCCTCATGTGGGGGGTGTGCAGCCCATTCCAGAACGCCACGGAGCACATGGGGCCAGATGCTTGCGGAGCCCCCAACTGGAACCTGCTGGATGTGGAACTGCCCCTGAGCAGAACCCAGGAACCAGGAGTGACCCTTGCCCCCCTCAAGCCCTGGACCCAGTATGCTGTCTTTGTACGGGCTATCACCCTGAGCATGGCAGAGGACAGCCCCCACCAGGGTGCCCAGAGCCCTATCATCTACCTCCGAACCTTGCCTGCAGGTACTCCCCCAACCTCTTTCCTTCTGCCCCTTATAGAAGATGGATTCTCTGAAGAATCCCAGAGGGAGATGGTAGGATGTTCAGATATCCAAGTGAATGCTAGGGGTGGAGGCAGGATGCTTCCTTGGTGCTGATCAAGGGGGGTGGGGAGAAAGCCTGGGGTCGGGAAGGCAGGGGCAGCATAGAGTAATGGAAAGAAGCCTGGATTTGTGGTCAGAAGGTGTGGGTTCATATTGGCTACTTGTGTAAGCTTGAGAAAGTCACTATCTCTTTCTAGGCCTTCTTTCTTCATCTACAAAATGGACTAGATGGTCTCTAAGGGTCCTTGCCAGCTTCAGACCCTGTGACTTAGGCCACTGGAGAAGGGGGATGGGATGCGCTAGAAAGTACCAGGGCTTAGATTCTTTAAGTTTAGGAGGTTGGACTCTTGGGTCCTGAGTGACCAGGTGTTCACGTCTTGTATGTGTGCTTGAGCACACACAAAACACACACACACACACACACACACACACCTGCCCCCCCTAGGTACCTGGGAAGATAAGGTAACAGTGAGAGACTGTTTAAGTCTGGGGTATGGAATCTTTGGCCTTGAGGCCACATGTGGCCCTCTAGGTCCTCAAGTGCAGCCCTTGGGTGCAGCCTTTTGACTGAGTCCAAGTTTTACAGAATAAATCCTTTTATCAAGGGAACTTGTTCTGTGAAGTTTGGATTCAGTCAGAGGGCTACACCTGAGGACCTAGAGGGCCACATGTGGCCTCGAGGCAGTAGGTTCCCCACCCCTGGTTTAAGTCCTTGGAAGCAGAAGGGGACATCTGGGGTATGGGGTGGTGGGGCAGATTACCAGGGTTCTTTCTGGAAAGGGAAGAAAGTGAGGCTTGACTGACCCTTCTCCCCAGCCCCAACAGTGCCCCTGGACGTCATCTCCAAGTCCAACTCTTCCTCCCACCTGCTTGTGCGCTGGAAACCGCCCACCCAGCGGAACGGGAATCTCACTTACTATCTGGTGCTGTGGCAGCGGCTGGCGGAGGATGCAGATCTGTACCTCAATGATTACTGCCAGCGTGGTGAGGACCTCAGGCTGGCTGAGGGGTGGAGGACTGGCCTAGGAAGGTGGGGTAGGGTGGAGGGGGAGGGGGATGGGAGAGAAGGGTGGTGCTCCACCAGGAGCTGGAAGGGGTGAGCAGACTTAATGGGGCAGTGGGAAAAGTGCTGAATTAGGACACAAGAGAAACTAGGTTCCAATCCTGTCCCTATTACTTGGCAAACTACTGCCTCCCTGGGCCTTGGTCTCCCTTTGAATATAAAGAGGGAGACAGGTTGCAAGCTCTCAAAGGCCCCTTCCATGATCCCCTTCTCTTCTTTGGGGCACTCTGAGCCGGACCTTGGCTCTGCTTCCCACCCTACACCCAGGCCTACGACTACCCACCAGCAGCACAGATGCCCGCTTTGACCAGGAAGAAGGGGAGCCTCTTGCAGAGGCCGAGCCAGGCTGCTGCCCCTGCCAGAGTTCATCCCCCAAGCAGCCACAGCAGCCAGCCCTGGAGGCACATGAGGCCTCCTTCCAGAAGAAGTTTGAGAACTTTCTGCACAATGCTATCACCCTTCCCAGGTGAGCTGGGCCAGATTCCTATCCACAGGTCAGGGTTAGGGACCCTGAGAGGGGTGGGGGGAGACAGAGAGAAAGAGAGAAAAACTGACAGGTAAGGCTGGCAGCCGAGCCTAGGGTGGATGTGACCTTGGAACTGAGCTCTGTAGCTCAACTTAAACATTTAGGGAGAGGGTCGCAGGTTGGATGTACCTGTGGTTGGAGAGGCAGCGGGAAATTTATATTTGTATTTTAACCTTCTCCTCATTATAAACACGTAACAGTAGGGACATCCACTCTCATCAAAGCCTTTTAGTTTTTCTTTGTGCCTCTCTCAGTCCTCTGGGCACACAGTAGGTGCTTAACACATGTTTATTGAATTGGTTCATTCATGGGGAGACTCACAGATTTGGAGAAAGCCCTGCAGATTTGGAGGAAAGGCCCATCGATTTGGGGGGGGTGAGTGTGGGTAGAGCTAAAAGACGAGCCCCCTGGAGGATCTAGTGAAAAGACTGGATTGGGAATCCTCCTATCTTTCTCCCCAGATCCCCCTGGAAGGTAACTTCTATCAACAAGAACCCCCAGAGGTAAGTGGGGAGAGGTACAGCGGGACTGGAAATCCAGGAAGGGAGGAAGCCGCAGAGAGATCAGGGGTCAGTAGTAAGTGGAAAGAGGATTTGGAGTCAAGACCTGGGTTCACATCTCAACTCTGCCGCCTTAGGCAAGTCACTTAACCTCACAATGGTTCAGTTTCCTCAAGATTAAGTAGGAAGTCCAATCAAATGAGTACTTGGGCAATTTCTAAGGTGTCTTCCAGCTCAGAAACCTGTGAAACCTACATATGATTTGATATCCTCTCTACCTCCCCAGGGACCCAGGCCGCTACCGGCGGGCTGCAAGGGCCCCTGGGGGAGGGGGAAATAACTCCGACATTGGGATCCAGGACAAGGTACCTCGAGAGCGGGTGGTGCTGAGTGGCCTGCGCCATTTCACGGAGTACCGGATAGACATCCACGCCTGCAACCACGCAGCCCACACAGTGGGCTGCAGTGCTGCCACCTTCGTCTTTGCCCGCACCATGCCTCATCGTAGGTGACCTCTAACCCCTCACCCCAGACCTCTGAACCATAGCCCCTTAAAGAGCACCTTGCACATACTGAGCTCCAAACCCCTGACCTGCAATTAACTCTCTACCATCCCTTGGACTCACGGGGGCAGCTTTTGCCTTAGCTCCCCCCTGGGATGGGGGGTTGGAGTGTAAGGCGAAGGAATATTTAGGTATTGACATAATCTTAGAGGTAGAAGGGCCTTTACAGCTATGTCCCCTGCTATCTACCTAGGTGAGGCAGACAGCATTCCTGGGAAGGTGGCTTGGAAGCCATCCAGTAAAAGCAGCGTCCTCTTGCACTGGCCTGAGCCCCCAGACCCTAATGGGCTCATTCTCAAGTATGAAATCAAGTACAAGCGCCTAGGTGAGGTAGGGACCCTAGAATCTGGGCCCCCAGCACCCACCCTGCCTGCTCCTCACCACCTTTGCTTTGCCACCCCTCCCTGCTGAGCTTCCACCCTTCTCAAGTGCTGGGCTCCTCTCCCCCACCACCCACCCTGGGGAGTGCCACAATTCCCTCCCCATTACCCAGGCCTAGATAACCCTATCCCCTGTTATCCAGCTCCATAGAGACTTCTGCTTGAGTATTGGAAGCTGAGTTTTCCCCTTCCTTTCCCTGCCCCACCCCCACCCCAGGAAGCCACAGTGCTGTGTGTATCCCGCCTCCGTTATGCCAAGTTTGGGGGAGTCCACCTGGCCCTGCTTCCCCCAGGCAATTACACAGCCCGAGTCCGAGCCACCTCACTGGCTGGAAATGGCTCCTGGACTGATGGCCTGGCATTCTACATCCCCGGCCCTGGTAAGATAGACGCAGATCAGTGCCCAGCTCTCAAACCCAACCTATGATGGAAAGACACCTCCTCACCCTTTGGTCCCATTATGATGTCTGGTTCTGTGCCCTGGTCTCCAACTCTGCCCACTGCCTTCCACCCTCCGACCTTCCCCCTGGATTGTTGACTCTAACCACGGTCCTCACTCCCTCTGACTTTCTTCTCTCTTCCCAGAGGAGGAAGAGTCAGGAGGGTTGCATGTTCTCCTCACTGTCACCCCCGTGGGGCTCCTGTTGCTCATAGTTCTGGCTGCCCTTGGCTTCTTCTACAGCAGGAAGAGGTAGAGTATCTCCACACTCCACCATTAACCTCACTTTCTCTTCTCTCCGGCCCTTCATCCTAATCCTCACCCTCTCCTCCCTATGTCAGATGGAAAGAGGGTTTGTAGCAGCAAGGACTTTCTTAAAAAGGATATTTCACAACTTCCTGGGGGTGGGAGTGGGAGGCAGTAGGCTTTAGTGTCAGAAAAAGATGCAATATACCTGAGATGAGAGTGAGAACCCTGCAAGATGACCTTTGAGGCTCTCTAAAGTCCAATAATTCGTGGTACTTGGATTCTCACTGGGTGGGGCAACAGGAGGCCAACTGAGGGTCTGAGCTGTTGGGTCCTAGGAATTTCTAAGGATTGACTACAGAATCCCTCTGCCTGTAATCTCCTACAAATGCAAAGTCCCCTCCATCCTTGGCCAGAGTCTGGGCCCAGGAAAAAGACCAACTATAAATAAAGTGCTTAAAGATCCTATAGATCTGAATGGGTCTGAGGGAGAGGATAGGAATTGTGACCCATACTTTGCTCTCGGTTCTGCCTTTCCTCTGTCTCTCAGGTCTTAAACTCCAACCTGCCCTAAACTTCATACTTAGATTCTTCCCAAGCCCCCTGACCTCTACCCCCATCTCATATTTGCCTTGCCTGGCCTCCAGGTTTCTACCCCATCAGCTTGCCTTACCTCTTTTCCTTTCCCCTATTACAGGAACAGTGGTGGTTACCCCAACGGGACCCTCTATGCTTCTGTCAACCCTGAATACTTCAGCACTTCAGACAGTAGGCGCTCCAGTGGGCCTGGGGGGAGGAGGGGAGGGCATGGGTTAGTGAAACTTTAGAATCAAGGGGTGAGGCTTAGCAGGTCCAAGGAGTATGCTTCCAGATGGGCACAGATTGGGATTCAGCTATCAATCAGAGAGACCTTCCCAGAGGGAGATGGCATTTAGAACCAAGTCATTACAGAGGGGAGTGGGGATCCCAGAAGAGGAAAGGGGTAGAGAAGTCCCTGGTTCCCCTCTCACATCCTCCTTTTGTTTTCTCTACCACAACTAGTGTATGTTCCAGATGAATGGGAAGTGCCTCGAGAGCAGATTTCTGTGATCCGGGAGCTGGGCCAGGGCTCCTTTGGGATGGTGTATGAGGGGTTGGCACAAGGGCTTGAGGCAGGGGAGGCCCCCACATCAGTGGCCCTAAAGACCGTGAATGAGCTAGCCAGTCTTCGGGAGCGCATCGAATTCCTCAAGGAGGCCTCTGTCATGAAAGCCTTCAAATGTCACCATGTGGTACCTAAGAGGGAATGGGATTGGCTTTATGACTTCTGGGAACTGGGATCATGGTTGGGATTACGATTGTAGCAACGGTGGGGGTCAGGGTCAGGTAGGTGGTCATGGTTGGAGGAGGACAGAATTGAGGTCAGGCTGAAGTCCAGTTGGATTTGGATCACAGTCAGACTCCATTGCCCATCTGTAGGTGCGGCTTCTGGGTGTAGTGTCACAAGGACAACCAGTTCTAGTCATCATGGAGCTCATGACTCGAGGGGACCTCAAAAGCCATCTCCGGTCCCTGAGGCCTGAGGCCGAGGTACGGGCCTAAATGGGAGTGAGGGAAAGATGGACAGACTAAGATGGGGAAAACTGGGGAATGCCAACGTACTTGAGATGTTATTGGATCTCTCAGGGGATGGGAACAGGGAATATTTAGAGTCCTTTCCTCACAGATCTCCCTCCTTACCCTGACTCCAGAACAACCCAGGACTCCCTAAACCAGAGCTGGGTGACATGATCCAGATGGCAGGTGAGATCGCTGATGGCATGGCCTACCTCACTGCCAACAAGTTTGTGCACCGAGACCTGGCTGCCCGAAACTGCATGGTGTCTCAAGACTTCACAGTCAAGATTGGGGGTACAAAGGATGAGATGTGCCTCTTCCAGTTTCAGATATCCTATTTTGTTTTAGGCAGGAAGCAAGTTTTGGGACTGGGAGAGGAAACAGGGAAAGAGAATGGGGAAGTAGATTTGTGACTCAGGAAAGGGGAGGTGGGAGACAAAAGAATGGGAAAAGTGGAGGAGGCTAGTCTGAAATTGGATACTTACTTGAGGCAGGATTTGTTGGAGACTGGGGCTGACTAGCTAAAGTAGTGTGTGTGTGACCTGCCTTTCCCCATGTCCTCTGCCACCTTCAGATTTTGGGATGACTCGGGATGTGTATGAGACAGATTATTATCGAAAGGGAGGAAAGGGGCTGCTGCCTGTTCGTTGGATGGCTCCTGAATCCTTAAAAGATGGGATCTTCAGCACTCACTCCGATGTCTGGTGGGGCCTGGCTATAGGGTGGGTGGGCTGGTCCTGGGTTTCCTGGGGGCGGAACTGGGACCCTGACTGAGAGGCTGGAGAAAGGAACCAGAAGCTTCTTCCCACTTACAATTTAGAGAATCCTGGTTGGATGTGTGCCTTTTCCCTGGAAGGAGGTTGTAGGAGGGGAGCAGTCACTGGGGAATGCTAAAGGTCCCTGATCTTGTCTCTTCTTTTGTCTCCTCAGGTCATTTGGAGTAGTGTTATGGGAGATTGTGACACTGGCAGAACAGCCTTACCAGGGCCTGTCCAATGAGCAGGTACTCAGGTTTGTCATGGACAACGGCATCCTGGATGAGCCTGAGGGCTGCCCTCCCCAGCTGTGAGTCACCTTCCTCCCCTCTCCCCACACAATGTATGCCTGTCTTCTAGTCATAGTTCCTCCGGTTACCTTACAGTCCTGACCCCTATTCCTCAACTATGACTTTAATGATATCATCCGCTTCTCCCCAGTTCTATTCATGGGATCAGGGTGGTAAGATCTTAATCTGATCCCATCTGATTCCCTGGCTCCTCTCTTCCCCTCATGCCAGACGGGAGCTGATGAGTTGCTGCTGGCAACAGAACCCCCGCCAGCGCCCGACCTTCATCCAGATCCTAGACAGCATCAAGGATGAACTGCACCCATCCTTTCGTCTCCTTTCTTTCTACTATAGTCCCGAAAGTCGAGGGGGCAGGGGCTCCTTGGCACCCCCTGACACAGACCCTGACACCCACCCATCACCTGAGGCCCACCTAGACCGCAGCCCTCCTAATGGAAGCCTAGGACACTGAGGAGTGCCCTTTCCCCTGGAGTATGTGGGATCCCTGTATACTGGGACATTGTTGACATCACAAGGCACTGAGAGGAGAAAACACAAGGTCCCCAGATACCAGCAGTGCTGATATGGACTACATGCTCACACACACACACACACACACACACACACACACACATCACAAGATGGCCCAAGGGGTGGGGGAGATGGTGAGATGGGATGGGCCAGGGAACTAGGAGGGTTCTCTACTGTCCTTCTTGAACCGATGGACTGGGGCCAGATAAGGTGCCTCTGCCCTGAGACTCCATGGGAAACTGAGAAGAAGGGACCAATACAATGGAAGGATGGAAGTAGCCCTGGCAGCTGGTGGGGTACAAGACTCTCAGCACAGGGAAAGAGAGCAGTACTTCCTTTCATGGACTAATGAAAAATACATCCCCCAGGCATTCCAGACTCAAATGGCAAGGGGAATCTATCCTTTGTTGTGATACATATAAATATATATATATATATATATACATATATATATATATATATATATATATATATATAATGTATGTATGTATAAACCACACACACACCTCTCAACACCATTTTCTGATACCTAAGCGTTTTAAAGCACTTAGCAAAAACTTGGATTGGGGCAAGAGGTCCTCAAAATATAAGGAATCAGAAATCCCAAATCTTGCCCTTCTCTGGCTCATCACCTTTCCTAGGATGACACCCTTTGGAGGATCTTTTCTTCCTGGCCTACCCTGGCAAAGGATCACAGGGGTAGGAACCTGCAGCCTCGAGGCCACATGTGGCCCTCTAGGTCCTCAAGTGTGGCCCTTTGACTGAATCCAAACTTCACAGAACAAATTCCCTTAAAAGGATTTTGCACCCAAGCACCTAGAAGGCCACATATGCCCTCAAGGCCACAGGTTCCTCACCCCTGGAAGCAGCTTCATTTTGGACAATGGGGGAAAAGAAGCATTGGAATGAGTACTTGCTCCCAACTGCCAACCTCAGCTTCACATCTCTTCCTCTCCCCTTTCCCACCCTCTTATCCAAAACGAACGTGCAGGACATTTCTGGGGAGGTGTCGGGGTCCCTACTTGATCTCTGCCTTTCTGTGAGATGACTTTCAACAGGCTTAGCTCCACTTTGGACTTGGCCAGTCACCTCTCTTATTTGACCTAGCCTCACCCCAGGATCCCTCAGCTTGGTGCTGCTCCCTCATTCTTCTGGAGGGCATCCCTTGGTGCTGACTTTCTTCCCCTCACTTTCATTTTCTTCTCACCCCATTTTCAAGTCCCTGCTACTGGGTTTAATTCTTCAAGTTTTTAAAGTATCACCTTCATTCTTTACCCACTCTGCCTTAAATGTGGATATAGGAGATGCAATAAAATTCCCATCTGTTTGTATCTGGGGTCTTGGTTATCATATTGTCCACTTACAAATTAAATATGCTATAAATTAGCTGTCTATCCTCCTCCACTGGGCCCTAAGCTGCTACCGTCTGGCAATAGTACAGAATAAACTTTACTACCATCTAACCTTCCACTTTCCTCCCCAACAGGCAATTAGGGTTGCCTTATGACCGATAAATAATAATTTTGTTACTAATTGGGCTTTCAGATGCTAGTGAAGCAGAGCAAAGTAACTTTTCCATCTACTTGTTACCCATGTGATCTTGAAAAGTCCCATTCTTGGGCCTCAGTTTTCCACAAGAAAATGAAGGTATTGTACTAAGTCCATCAAATCTATGATCTTGGGGCAGCTAGGTGGCGCAGTGCATAGAGCACTGGCCTTGAAGTCAGGAGGACCTTGAGTTTGAATCCAGCCTCAGACCAAACACTTGACACTTGCTAGCTGTGTGACCCTGGGCAAGTTACTTAACCCCAATTGCCTTAAAAAAAAATCTATGATCTTGTCTCTCAAACCTGTACTCAACCTCCTCCTTCACTATCTTCTGCATGCCCCACCCCCTAAAACACAAAACAGTCTCATCTCTCTCAAAGTTTCCCAAGAAGTGGCCTGGGTCATGTCCCCTAGCTGGGAAAGAAGGCATTTCTTGGACTCTTGGTCTCTATGCTGCAGGCTTCAAGTAGGCAGAACGTCCAGAGTGGGAGAAGGGAATGGGAAAGAGGGTCAGCTACTCTTCCTGGTACCAACAATTTGCTCATTGGTTAGAAGAAGCCTGACAGTAGAAAGCCCTTCAGTCTTGGCATCAAGAGACCTAGATTTGAATTCTGTTTCCAACACTTACTGTGTGACCCCGGGCAATTCTTTGAGTCTCAGTTCCCTCATCTCTTAATACAGATAACAATATTTTACCCACCTTGCCAGTGACCACAGGGTCATTGACAGGAAAGATCCTCATAAACTTTAAAACTGCTACAGAAATGTGTATTGAGTTACTTAGTATTAGAGGCTTGGTCTAGGGCCAAGGTGTATATGGTTCAGGCCTATGCTGGGCCTCTTTAGGGGCTGCAGGGCTTGAAGCAAATCATAGTTACTATCCTCCCCCAATGTCTTTAGGTGAGAATAAGTTCAAATTAATACCCAGGTTAGACCTGAAGGGGAAAAGAAATCACAAAAAAGCAATATGGCCCAAAGGGACAGGGTGCCTGTGAAAGAGAGCAGTCCCATTCTTTTCTTTAAGGTGAGGAAGGGGAGGATTGAATGTGTGTAAAAAGCCTTAGAGCTTTGTTTAGCACCAACTTGTGGAGAACTAACCCCTATATTCTACTCTGCCACATTTCTCCTCCTCCTCCTCTACTAGCTGCTTAGCATCTCTGGTTTAATCTCCTGCAGTATTAGGGAGCCCCCAAGGTGGAGACCATAGGAAAATGGCTTGGATTCAACATGCCCTAAGCACAAGGTGTAAAGCCCTTCTGTGTTCATGTCAAAAGTTTGCATACTCCTAAACCCAAGAAGCTATCTCAAAAATTTCTGTTACTTAACTGGGAGGACCAGGCATAGGTTCAATGTAATCCCTTCCACATCATGACTTTCTCCATCGTGATATGGATATGTCACGGGTCAGCATAGGAAAGTAAATGGGATTTTGGGGGGAGTTTGCCATAGACAACATGCAAAGGAGGCCAGCAGACAACACAGAAATAGTTTAGAAACTCAGAAATGAATAAAATATATGTGTAAAATTGTATAATATCAATATATTTTATCTCTTAATACTGTACACACCCCATAAAAGAAAAATAAAAAAGTCAGACTTCTTCTCTGCTACAAAGAGAAGGCCAAAAAATTTTACTCAGATTTTCCAGATCAAGGGGACAACAACACCCCATTCCCTACTCCCCCTCCTTTTTCCCCACCCCTGAAATGTAGAAGGGATAATTAATTCATTCCCACTACTGGAAATATGTCATAGTGTATGTCCTACTACTGGGGGGCTATCTTCATTATCTTCCATATGTAACTCCAAAGGGCATTTGGCTTGAACTCCCTCTCATCTTTCAATCTCACAACTTCAGTCTCTCCTTATCTACTGTCTTCTTTCCTGCTGCCCACTTCTTGCTCATTCTTCAAAACCTTAACCCAACCCTGTCATCCCCTCCAGCTATTATCTTAGGTCTTAGATTTCCTCTCTTCACCAGAATGCCCAAAAAGTTCTTTAAACAAAAAAAATGTTAAGAATGACTGATAGAAGATGATCTCATATACTAAGTGGTAGAGTTAAGGCAAGCTACCCTGAGAATCTTAGAGAGGAAAAGCAAACTTGACTGATGCCCCAGAAAGCCTGCTGATGTGGGGCTATTGAGTGATATGTACTACATACATATCCCATTCCTGATGTGCCAGAGTTGAGTGGGACTCAAAAATCTGCACCCAAACCTCTAGAAAAAGTCACCAAACACTCATAGCCAGGGGTGGGGAACCTGCTGACTCAAGGCCACATGTGCCCTCTAGGTCCTCAAGTGCAGACCTTTGACTGAATCCAAACTTCACAGAACAAATTCTTTGGATTCAGTCAAAGGGCCACATGTGGCCTCAAGGCTTCAGGCTCCCCACCCCTGCCATAGCCTTCTTTTCCTCATTTTTAAGTCCCTTGGTATTTAACCTTACCACTTGTGATCTCCAAGTTACCAATGGTCTTTAACTCTGATTCTATCACTAAATCTTTCCCCAACCATTTAAAAAAAATTCTCTCTGCATCATTTGACACTGTTGAACAACCTTCATTCTGGAAGTCCCTTCCTCCTGGGCACAAACCCTGCCGTTTTCCTACCTGTTTGGCTGCTCCTAACTCCTCTGCTAGACCATCATCGATGTCCCACCCCATAACTCTGAATGTCCCCTAAAGAATGTCCTGGGTCCTCTTTTCTTTTTCTATACCCTTTATTGGCAATCTCCTCAGCTCCCACTGATTCAACTATTATTTCTATGAAAATGACTCCTAAATTTACATATCTAGCCCTCACCTCTCTCCTGAGCTCCAGCTCTGTATCACTAACTTCCTATTGAACATTTCTACCTGAATGTTCCAAAGGTATCTTAAAAACATATCCAAAAACTTAAAAATATATCCAAAACAGAACTCATTATCTTGCCCTCTGCCCTGCCATGTTCCCTACTCCCCACCTGGAACAGATCAATCTGGACCAGAGACCATGACTCCCTTCCTAGGTGGACTAATATATTTAGCGTGGAACCCTGCCATGGAACTGGGCTTATCCAGTGAGTGGAAATTCTCTGAAAAAGCTACATCTAGCCGGCCCCAGAACATGCACCAAAACCACCTACCCTGGACATCTTGGTACATATCTTGGCATCTACCCTGCTGCCACAAATGACCATCTCATCTTATTTCTACTTCTTGCTCTTAGAACATCGACCCAGTGAATATTACCTACCATTGCTTCTGGAAAGGGCATGAAAATGAACTGGCAGACAGCTTTACTCATTATTCCTGCATTTCCCCAAACCAAAGCTTCCTTCACTGGCTACCACATATCTTGTCTCTCCCTTAGAATATAAGCTCCTTTAGGGAAGGTACTGATTTTTGTCTTTGTATCACTAGCACCTACCATAATGATAGTGCTTAATAAATGCTTTTCTTTATTCACTCATTACCCCCCCCAACCTGTCCTTTCTCCAAATTTCCCTCTTTTTTATCTTTTTTTTGGTGAGGCAAATGGTGTTAAGTGAGTTGCCCAGGGTCACACAGTTAATAAGTGTCATGTGTCTGAGGTTGGATCTGAACTCAAGTCTTCCTGATTCCAAGGCTGGAGTTCTATCCACTGTGCCACCTAGCTGCCCCCAAATTTCCCTGTATCTATTGAGGGTACTAACATCCTTCTAGTCACCCAGGCTGACAACCTTGAAGTCATTTTGGCTCTTCACCTCTCTCACTCCTCATCCCATATCCAATCAGTTGCCAAGTCTTCTCACTTCTACTTCCACAGCATCTCACACACCCTCCTCTTTCTTGTCATTCACATAAACACCATCATAGTTTAGGCCCTTATCACCCTTCACTTGGTCTACTGCAATAGCCTTCTACTCTCCCTGATTCTGGTTTCTCAG